TTGTTTTTCTAATTAGAATTAGATTAATTCTTATCTATCCTCTTAATTGGTTTTTTTTAATAATATGATCATGAGTATTCTCAAAATTTGTTTAAACTATTTTCTTAATTCTTTAATCATTGTTTTTTATAGAGTTAATTATATTTTTAGTACCTAAAATTTGAAAAAATGTATAAATTGATACTTAAAAAAAATAAAATGTACAATTTGAACCATAAACTTTCAAATAATATATCATTTTAGTTTAAATTCAAATAATATAAATTTAACCTGCCTATATGGTTTCTTCCAAAAAAAAAAAAATTGTCCATATGATATCTAACAAACATAATTTTGTTATATACATGTTATTTGTTAAATAAAAATATTAATTATTTTTGTAAGAACATCATGTGAATATCACATAACAAATAATAATTGATCGATTTTGTTGACAATTTTTATGGTTCAGGTCAACAATATATATTTTTTAGATTTTTTTTTTGAAAAAAATATGTTTGTAGTGTGTATGGTGAATAAATAGTTTGATAATATTTATCTAATATTATATATATAAATTGATATAGTTAATGAGATTAGAGTTTAAATTAATATGAAATATAATTTAAAAGTTTAAGGTGTAAATTGAATATTTTATGTCTTTAGATGTCCATTTATATATATTTTAAAATTCAAATAAAAAAATGTAATTAACTCTTTTTTATATTACAGGAAAACCGCTTGATTTTGTCAATGCTAGTATTTTATAATTAAATATCTCACGAGCGGTGAAGAATAAGGGCTTTGCTAATCATGCTCAAATTAGTCCAATATTTTATTCAATCGAATGGCTAGCACATTTTTCGCATGGACCACGATATAATATATAAATGCCATTAAACTAAAACTCTAGAATATGCTCATAAAAGCAATAAGCTAATCTCTCATTAGCCGACTTAATTTAATCCGAATAAAGGTACCTCCCACTTGTTGGTGAAAGAAACTTTACTTATTTAATTTGATTAATGTATCATTTTTTGGATTCAAAGAACCCAAAGATAGAGCTCATGATTAACCTTGTAATAATAGGAAATACTATTACTTTACTATAATATTTCAATTTTACTGTGTTTGGAGTCAAATGTTTATCCTCCCAACCTTTTTATCACGTGTTGAAAGTAGAAAACCATAGGCACCATGCAAATCAATTAATTAAACAATCAAAGGACCAAAACAAATAAAATATTCTAAAGTTGACAAACACAAATAAATTTTTAATTTAATTCTCAAATGATTAAATGAAGATTGAGTATTAGTGATTGGTTTGCAGAAAAAGATGTTTATTCATTTAATTTTAAGAAAATTAGTAATTAAAATGCTATGATAAAAGATATAAAAAAGTTAAGTTTAAAAGATAAAAAAATATTTAGAATATTTTATTAAAAAGTTGGATAACACATTTGTGCAAAACCCCACAATTTGCCGGCCAATATTTTAAGTTTGTGTTGCTACCCCTCGAAGGAAAGCTAATTTGCTTTAGGATACTAGCCTTTATAATTTAATCAAAGTTTTATTTTTTTTTATTTTAATCTATACTTATCTCTTCAATTTTTATTTATTTAATTCAAAATAATATTATATGTCTTAATCTTATTGAATTGGTAATTTGAAAATTTTAATCAAAGCCAAACTTAATTAGAGTATTGCGTTTTACTTCAATTATAGGAACTAATCAATTTACTCTAGACTCCAGACAAATTTTATTTTGAAAAAAAGTTACATTTATGAATTATGAAATTAATATATTCATCCCAAGTCCAAACAAAGCCAAATCTTAGTGACGGAAGATTAATTAATTAATTAATTAATTAAGGGATTGCTACATATATTCTTAAAAAATATTTTTTTAAGTCGAAAAGGTTTTTGAAAATTTAAGAGTAGATAGATGTGGTTTTTTAAAATTAAAAATTATTGTACGCTTTTAAAATGTATATACAACATTACTCATTAATTAATATTTTAATATGAATAAAAAATATATTCAATAATATGTCACGTGCGCCACAAGGACAAACCACACCCATTCATTGCAAAAACCATGGGCTCGATTCCTATTTTTAAATAAAGTTTAATAGTAGTGGATCCTTTTCCTTTTCAAATGGCCTAAAAAAATAATTAAAAAAAACATCAATCTTCTAATTGGAGCTACCGTTTTGTTGTTAAGAATTGACCCATGCTGCAAAAAACAGTGAACAGTTTTATGCAATTTGGAACTAAATGAATTTTGCAGCTTCACCATGTGCTTTTTCTGAAACGAAATCTCAAATCTTTTTGACCAGGACCTGGTTTGCTCAGAACTCTTTTTTTTTTTTTTCCCCTTTGTTTTTAACCTTTCATTCTTTACATCCAAGCGAAAGTGTCAAACTAATTAGATCCTAAATCTAAATTATGATTAATTAATTATAATAAAATAATAGTAGGTTATATATTTTTCATAACACAAAATAAAAAAAATTTAAATATTTAAAATATATTTATGTACTACTCATATTGTCATTCTTAAAGTGGTGATAATAAAATAACATATCGTCTATGATACAAATCTTTTCATTTATGGTTAATTAATAGATTTCAATTTAAATTTTAAATATGATACTGTTACTTTTTATTCAAGAAAAAAATTACATAATTTTTTTTAAATCATTTATCAATTGCTAAATAAAAATTATAAATATGATACCGTATAATTACTGTATTTTTAATATGATATCAAAATTAATTTTAATAGCTATTTAATATTTTTTATGTTGCAATTCCTTGCTAACAAGAATAATGAGTGGACCTATGATGAGTGGAAACTTTAATGATTGATTAATTAACCTAGAAAACTCGGAATATAAGTTCTTTATCCATTTCAACTTCAACACGATTAAGTTTGTTTTTATGCATTATATTTTATTGTTTAGAGTTAGAAAAATGAGCAGATAAATTATAGTAGAATGATTAAAATATTTATCTATATCCTTATCCAAAAAAAATTTTCATCTATGTATAATAATAAATAATTAAATGGAAACATTTTCAACATTGATCATTATTCATGATGTTGGTTTAATCATGGGGGTTATTCTTCTTTTTTAGTAAAGTCCAAATACATAATTCTGCCTAATCATCAACTATAAATATATTTATTTATATTCTTTTATTGAAATTAAAACACAAAATTCATGTGCAATAATTTGAATAGAATTTTTTATTTCAAAAGAAAATTAATATGATGAATAATTCTTCTCTTATAATGTAAGTCTTGTAATAAGGATTTAATATACACTTATTTACATCCTATTTAATTACTTAAATTAAAAGATTCAATATATTTAGTAATTTATCACGTCATAGAATTATTTATGAATTTTTATGATTTGGTATTAGATATTAAATGGGATTGAGCTCTTTAATTGTTTAGATAGGAATCAGACATGTCTGGATGAATTCAAAGGATGCATGACTTGCAGATCAGGAAAGGTTAATTTTTTATTATGCTCCTTCAAGAAAATAAGAAGAAAAATATATATGTTTATGTAAATCATTCATTTTATATTCTAAAGCAATTAGCACGTGAAAAAACTAATCCTGCAATGATTTGTTATTTCCTGCTTTGATTCCGACAATGCTTTTGTTTTATATATATATATAAATAATGAAGTGCATATTTAGATAGAGTTCAAAAGCTTTTTTTTTTTTTTTTAGTGTAATTCAGATGCCTTTTAATACCTTATATTATAGTGATCCGTACAAGGGTCAACCCAATTCAAGCAATTATTTAATTAATAAAAATTTATTTTTTTTGTTTAATTTAAAGTATTGAAATATTAATATTTAAAAAGAAAGTCTCTAATTTTGGAAAGGGGTTTTGAAAGATTAATCAAGTTTCACTTTATTTTACCAGACCTAAAAAACAAATCTAAATTATAGTCTATAGAGTTAAAAAAGCCAATGAATGTATTGAGACAAAATTGATGAAGAGTAATATGATTTTTCTAAAGTAAAAACAAATTGATATTAAAATTGGTAGTGTATTACTGGTTTCTTGGCAAAAAGTTTAATGTGTGTTTAGTATGAACCAATGTGATGAAATGTTAGAAATATACATAAAATATGTGTATGATAATTGTAGGGCCATAATGAATCAAAAAAGATAAGATATGCCTATATCTAACCTATAGTATGACTAAGCAATAACAAATAAAATCTAAAGAATGGTAAAGTATATAAAATTATATGTTTTTACCACTAATTACTCATGCGTTATCTGTTCGATTATATTTATATTTTTAATATATTATTATAGAAGATTATAAATAATTCTAAAATAATCATAAAAAATTATTCAATCAATATAGGGGATGACAAAGGTTAGTTTTTAATTTGATATTAGTTGAAACATCATAATCCATCCACCAATTTGCATTGTCAGTTGCTGCTGGACAAATATATATATATACATATAACCAATCCAACTAAAATAACATCCCAACTGTTGGTGATAGCCACTTATCCTTTTTAATATGATCAAATTTTAGCTTTCAAGAAAGCTATATTTCTTTTTTTTTTTTTTTCCTTTATGTATTATGGAAGGACCGATTTCTTGTGACTAAAAGATTTGATCAGGTTGGTGCAACTATAAAATTATGTACCATTTATCCCATAGAAGACAAAGAAGGCCCAAAATTGAACAGTTGCAAACAGTTCCCCTAAAATTGTTGGCCCAATTAGATTAAGTTGGTTATCGCTTTGGCCCAAGAGGCCGATAAGTCCCAAGCTTAAGGCAATCTATCAAGCCTGCTTTTTCTTAAAATAATCCACAATAAAACACAACTTTGGATGTTTTGCTCTAATTCACCATGGGGGCAGAAAATTTCATTTCTATGTTTCTTTCCTTTCCCAGGAAAGAAAAAAAAAAATTTATACCCATTTATCTATACTTTCACTCTAGAAGAAGCTTTAGAATCAGACAGGCATGCATCTCAACATTTATCAATCTTTCAAACTTGGTTCTAACAAATTTTGAACACTATTATTGCACATCACACAGATAGTACAAGGATACAAAGAGAGATATTACTCTCAGAGATCATTAATCTATAGCTTCAGTTAGCGCCTCCAAACAAATCCTAGAAACTATAAATTTGGCTCAAACACCAAGAACTATACCATTATAATGCATACACAACCAGCAATCAACTCAATGATAAACAAGTAACATATAGACACTTCCTGATGTTGTGACAACGATGTATCACACCCAAGCTTCCCCACCTCCTCTAGTATTTACAATCCCAAGATTTCGTGTCTTCTTAGTCGACTTACTCAACTGAAATACGGGATGCCTGCATAACCGCCTTACACCTTTTCTTAAACTTAGTCGATCCCCATTATCATATCCACCTCCACATTCATTTTCAACGGTCCCCATTTCACATGCATTTGGCGTGCTGTTACCTGATATGGACTCAAATTCCTCTTCTGCATCATTCCTCTGCAAGCTCCATAGTTTCTCTTCAGGGCCACTGTCCAGTCTATTCAGTGTGGCAGCCCTCAAAAACTTAGCAGTGGAAGGTTCCACAGATACACATGCTTCCTGAACTTGCTCATGGGATAAGCCACTGTCTGTGGCTGCAGAATGGATGTTGGTAATGTCGGTAGGAGAACCTGAGCATGATGGCAGCAACCTGTCCTTGGCAGCTGACTCCTCTCTTTCATGAAGTGTCTTCAAGATCAGTGTTTTGAGGAAGTTCATTACTTGCACGGCATGAATCAATGCCGTCAGAGGATCAGCCAGCTGCACTAGGTAGAGGTAGCCTCTCATTTAGATTTTGACCAAAATTAGTGTTTAAAAAGAGAAATCCCAAGGGCATTGTTCCAAAAAATAGCTAATGTTGCAAAGTTCATGGCTGAAAAATCCAGCAAAAAGATGGAATAACAAAAACGTGAATCCCTATGATGGATCCATTCCAGTCCTAATTGTCCACTCTGCCATGATAAAACAATCATTGAGAGGAGTGACCTGAGTGGTGCTTCAACTCTGCATTAAAGGCCATTCATACCTTGAGCCAAAAATTCTTTAAAACACCTTGCCCCTGTTACATATTACTCCAAGGAAGGGGAAAAATGTGTGCACGCCCATGTCCACATTTTTGTCTGCCCCATTATTATCCCAAATTGAGCTGTTGTGAAACACACAACTGAACTCACCTCACCAGGTGCTCTCCCCCAGAATTATGATTTCTTCAGATTTTAGGCAGGGTGTGATATTATCCAGAAAGACACCTAACAATTATTAGACTAGTGAGACTAAAAAATGTAAGATTTAAAAGTAAAAGAAAACCTGAGTCATGTTTGGTGCAAAAACCATCGCAATGTTGCGTGCATTCATTTTGTTGTGTTGTTCATGCTGCACAACATCCGCCATCAAATTGATAGCCCAGTCAAGTAGAGCAGCTTCTGTCGAAGGAAGTAACTTCACAAGTTCAGTGCAGTCATCTTCCGTGTTGCAGTGCATCACCTGCTCTGGTGCGAGGGAATCAAGTACTCCACTAGGAAGTTCTCTAAGCCATGCCTACAAAGCATTTCATGTACAGCAACCAAATGAGAAATACTAGTACAGCTCTCCAGCATGAAAGCAAAATGTAGTTAGTAAATTTGAAAAATTATGCCATCTAAGATGAGTGACAAGACAATATCAAAGGATGTTGGTTGCATGGATTTGCAAGGCACAAATTCAACTGCCTGCAAGGTCCAAAACCAGGCATGCTTTTATAATCCTGTTTTTCTGTTAAACCTAATACTTCACTCATTCTTTCCAACGAATGAACAACGAAAGATCCAAAATTTTCATCTCAATTAAAAAGAAAGAAAGAAAAAAAATGCATCATATTTGATGATTCCAAAAACCTCCCAATTCAAAATTGAATCTATGCACCAGTAGGTGTACTCAGCTGAAAGGGAAAAAAAAAAATTCTGTAAGAATATTTAGTACTAAAATCTAGTCAAAATCATGGGAAGAAAAGGATAAATATAGTCATGAATCATGATATTTTTACATTTAAAAACTCCATAAATAAGAGAAACTGCAAAATCAGTATTGGAAACAAAACCAAGGTAATCTAAAGTAGATATACCTTTATCAAACCTGCCAAACAATGGACATCAATTCCACGTGGTACTACACCTTTGTTTAACTTGTCTCGGACATACTCTTCTTGACTATTCTCGGCATTAATCCGGAATATTCCTTCCGCCTTCAACCAACAAAATCAACTTGGTCAAAATCTTAAGCATTTAGATTACTATTTAGTCATTAATCCAAAGCATAGGCTTAGACTTACCTTAAGGCCTCCTTCTGCATACAAACGCCTCTGCATCATAAGAAGAATTGTTGGCACACTGTTCCCTTTGTCATCATAAGAACACTGCATTGACTTGGCTGAAACTCCAAAAACGCTTGCACTGGACAGTGGAAAAATGCATCTTGTATGTTTAAATATAATGAAAAGAAATATCAAATAAGGATACAAAATCATGCAAGAAAAAGATTAAAACATAAATTCCCAAAAACAGTTTCAAGCAGATTCCATAAGCAGCAGAGTATTTTTGGTTTTCCACTCTTCAAACAAACGAAATGCCACTAGCAATCAATTCTGCGCAACAAGCTTCTTGCATGATAAAAAGAAAAATCATGAATAAGTTGCTAAAATCAAGAGAAGACAAATGGCCAATATCCAGACTTTACTATGCAAATTTATCCATACCACAGTATATGCCATATACAACCACCAATTATCCTCAGAAAAGAGCTAATCTTCAAAAACTCCACATGCAGTACAGCAAATGATCAATTGATTTGTTTGAACCCATAACAAGATCTGTAATGGAACCAAGCCAACCACTACTCCATCAAACAATCCTTCGGATCGAAGGCATGAAAAAGGCCAAGGCTTATGCATGTTAGAACGATCCAAACCCAGAAGTGACATTTAAAGGATCATTTTAATCAAATTTGTTTACCATTTGACTTTGAACAGTAACAACGAAGCATGCAGACTATCCTCAGATTTCCATCGTAATCAAAGCCTCAAATTTTCTGAAAAAGCACCCATAGAAACATTTATTGCAGAACAATTCATTCCTAATCAAACGTGGCAAAAGTAGTTGGCATGTCCCCTTCTTGTACTGCTTTAATAAAAAACATCCATAAACCAAAATCTAACTTTTGACGAACAAGAGAACGACTCAATAAAGTCAGACATAATAATCAAAAACACAAATACACCTTCAAGAACAGTTGAAATTAAAGAAAAATTATTAATTCCTTTGCCGATTAATATCATAGGTATGAGTAATAGTGAAAAGATCATTAATTTAATGTTATAATCCTACATTTCCCTCCAATCAAGACGTTAAATTTGTTCATAAAAATAAAAACTATATTTTTAAAGAAAACATTAGAAAATCCCAAAATCAACAAATTCAGAAGATTTAACTTGCTTAATAAATCCAACAATAAAAAAATTTCCAAAAATGGTAATGCAAATAAACCATTAAAGCCGAACAGAGTTGAAGAACCAAACCTGGCACTGGGAACCCTTCTGGGAACATGAGGCTCGAGCTCAGTAGGCAAGCCGAGGAAACCATTAAAGCGGTCGAAAGTCACGTGAGAGACGTGCCTGACTTCAGTTGGTAAGCTAATATCCATGGAAGACACGTCGTCAGTACCCATGCTGCACGTGATCAGCGACTTCCTTAACAACGCTGCCAAAATATCCAGAAACGGGGAATGGTTATTGTCTTTGGACGTTGAATTACTGTTATTCCCCTGACTACAACCATATCTCGACGTCGGGCTTATGAACGGAGTCGTAGCAATGGGGTTTCCAGCAGACCCATTTTCTTCTTCTTCTTCGTCTTCTTCAAACTCTTCCTCCTGTTCCTCTTCTTCGTCATTGGCTTCATCGTCGCTGGTTTTGGTTTGGTGGAAGAACGGAGCCGGAGGAGCATTGTTGAACTCAGTGAGTCCGACGAGTCCGCAAGATTTGGATCGAAACAAGCCCGTCATCTTTCTCTTCTCGCTCTCTCTCTCTCTTTCAGATTTTTTAAAATTTATTTAAAAGTGAAGGGATTTAGGAGACAAAGAGAAGCAAGAAACATAGAAATATAATAATAAAGAAAAAATGAAGAAGTTAAGGCGGGTATGAAAGCAATGGAGCAAGAAATTAAGAAGTAAAAGAGTTTGTTTGGTTGAAAAGAAAATGGAGAGAAGGGGCGGAGGTTGCTTGAGAGTGGAGATTCTGGATATGGTAAGGGAGTTGATAGGGACATTCGGTTTCCTTTTTGTTGTTGTTTGTGTATATGAGTGTAAAGCTGGGCGGGGGGAAGTGAATGACCAAAAAGGGAAAAGTAGAGTGGGTGTGGGGAACGCCCCGTGAGTGTGAAAGAGTATAGAAAGGATAGGAAAGGAAAGGTAGTTGACAAAGAGGAGACTCTTAGTCGACAACCAAGAGCCAACTGCGGGTGTCTTGTTTTGGACGTTTGCGTTGGTTAATATCTTTTATGTTTTGTAAAGTACGATCTTTATGTTCTTTTTTTTTTTTTTACATTTATCAATTTCAATGTGATCAAAGAGAAAGTGGCAAATTATTTGTTATGTAGGAGGTTTCTGTACTTTCATTTGTACTATATTAATGCATTTTTCTCTTGCTGCCATTATGTTATTCATACAATGATGATTATAAAAAGATTATCTTAAGAATAAATTGCCAATTAATAAAAGATAATTAATTCGATGTCATTTGATATCTACAAAATAAAAAAGCAATAAAAATGCCTACCAATGATCATAGATCTCAATCTCTCAATTTAGAATTCATTTAATTGGGTGAGCATCATCTCGTGCATGTCATTTTATGTACTACACCTTAAAATGTAGTTACAGTGTAACTAAAAGAGATCTTTAGTTTCAATTGTTTCTAATCATTACTATAAATAAGAAAAATAAAAACATTTTTAAAGAAAATTCAAATTTAAAATTTTATTAAATTAGAATAGACTTTCATTCTTGAAAAATAAGAGTACTTTTATTCTATGACCAAGACTTAAGATAAAAACAAAATAAATATGATCCTAAAAATAAAAATATCCAAATTGATAAAGCTTAAAAATAATATAAATAACTAATCTAGTGTCATAAGAACTTCATTCTACATTTGGTATTTGAATTAATTATTTCTCTTTAACACAAGAATTGTTAGACAATCTGTAAGACATGGGTTTTCTTTGTGCTCACAATTGGTAAAACATTTAATTGTTGATGCCCTAATGGCTAAGCTCAATAAAGGAAATATCAATTTATGATCTATGATCTTCTTTTTCTCCTGTAGGGACAGTATAACTGGCTTCGAAAATGAGGAAATTGGATGTGTTTAGCATCTGAAATTTTCTTGTATGTTCGATGTTTTTGTAATCTTGCATCCCCAATGCCCACACAATAGTCACTGGGCACATGGCAAGTGTTGCGCTTTCTTGTTGTCCCCAATTTGAAGCTTTTGTGGGTTATTTCTGCCCTAATAATAAAGCTGTTATTACAGAAGACAGAGTTTCGAGTGTATCACAAACATAATATTATAAACCGAAAAAAAAAGTACCTTTTATAATCTGTGGTCCCATTAATCTTAGAAACATCATTTATCCTCAAAATCCTTTAATTTAAAGAGCAATCAAAAGCAGCTTGGAGTTATAAACGGTATTTAGTGGTCCTTTGTTTGGTCCAAGCATATAAAACTAGGTTTTCAGAGAGCAGGGGCAAAGGCAGACGTTGAAAGGCATCGGATTGGGATGGGGTACTACCCAGGTTAATAAATACACCATGAACAGGTAAACAGGACAAGACATGTGAACTGTGAACATCTACCATGCAAAATGCAGCTAATATGACATTACTGTATACAACTGCTTGATGTTGATCCGAACTTTCCTAGTCCCAGTGCTGACGTAAGTAGAAAGTTTAACATGTGTACTGTTGCATGCCGTGGCAGTTTAGTCTGATGTTCTGGGGTTCTAAGTTCTAACTTTTAAGTCCACAAAAACTCTGATTACTTTGATTTTGATGACCAAATCAGCAGCAGCTGAGAACAACAAATGCAATAATTTTAGGTATAACTAAGTTGAATTTTAAAATTTTTTCACTTGTGCTATTGTTAAAGGGCATCATCTGCTTGTTCATGTGGAGCAATTCAATAGTTTGTTTGGCCCTGTTTTTCTTGGAAGTTTTCAAAACGGTAATTGTTTCCAAATGTCATCTTGATGGACAACACGTTCAGTCGAAGAAAACCATTACTATACTTGATTGTTTTGGATGAACTACAACAGACTAATTAATGACAGAGCCTAATACTGAAAGCGAGTTAATTAATGAAACAATTCATTATTACATTAAATGAAAGGAAAGGAAAGAGTAATCAATGGCAAATCCAACTGTTTTATTTTGGCCCTTTGTCGTGGCTCCTCATGATTCTCCAAATGGATTGTAAATAAACAAAAAACAAAGACAAATGAGAAAAACTATACATCTATATTCAAAACATCTTTTCTCGGTTAGGAGTTGAAGGTTTAATTTTTTAGAACATCTTTTTCAGGGTTAGGAGTTAGGGTTTAATTTACAAAAGAAATCCCTCACCTGGGATATATATATTAAAACAGTCCAAACCAATAGCTATCATAAAAGGATAATGTATTATATTAATTAATTATTAATATGGTTATTTAATTAATTACGACTTGATTAAGAAACTTGACTGATCTACAAACAAGATCCTCCCCTCACATTATATGTTGGATTAACCTCTTATCTTGATGGATCTAAGATTTGGTTCTTTTACTGTCATGCGTTAGCCAGAGCTTTACTGGACGGAGCTGTAAGTCAAACTTCGACAGAATAAAAAATACGTAAACAAAAACAACCCACTAATCAAAAAACACAAGACATGTAGAATCACTGCGGTTCTAGAGTTAAAGCGATGAGTACAAAATGCTTTGTTCGACGTTTTATTCTGTTATTTGCATGGTGTTTGTCGTTTGCCAACAAACATGATGGGATTGTATATATGTGAAAAATGAGATTGTTGGTGATGATCTCGACGCCTCAACGACTCAATACAGGATAAATTTTCCTTTTGTACAATGCTTGCAGTGGAAGCGTTACAGATCATGCAGCGTAATTTCATGCAAAAATGGTTACAGAAATATCAGGAAGGACCGGATAAGTAAGAACAAACAAGATTTTGTATATGAACGATTAGCTATGAGTTCCTTCCAAACTACGCCAGAGAATCGATCACGCACACCCAAGGTGGTGGGCAATATTAATATATACCATATTAGATGAAATCTTGTAGTTGACGGCTTAACTAAACCACCAACTAGAATAAGCTACTTGGCAGAAATATGGTTGTGGTTTAAACCTTACGAATTGATTTAGGAATCAAGTCAGAAAGTGGGGAATGGATTTGTTAAATATTCACTTCGTGGTTTTAAAGTAGGGGCACAAGGGAGATGTCGGCATTTCATTTCTCGCACTTTTTGCATGCAATGTAGCAGAAACCAAGGATTATGTTTTAAGATATTTGATGAAGTTATATATCAGTTGAGATATGCTAATCAAGATTCAAAAGTGGTTTAATTTGCTCGGTTTTCACATCTTCTCTAAGGGTTTTCTAGTCTTTCAGTTATTAATCATTTGATTCAATTAATTTGGTTTTGACCAAGCAATAGATATGGTCTAACTAGAATGTGTGATGAGACCAATCTCTTATAGTAATACATTGTTCTTATAATTTACAGACATCCATTTACTTAATAGTTGTTTAATCTTATTATTGTATTTCATATTTTATTTATGCAAATTATGCACGTGAAATGTTAAATTAATTAAAAATATTTAATTATTTGTTTGATATAAAAAATTCAAACTTTAAATATATATTAAATACTTGTTAAAATATAACACTAAACATTTTTGCAAGGATGTAACTTGAACCATCCTCCCACATTAAAGCCTAGACGTTGGTCAATGAAATGAAATAGCTCTTGTACATTCATTTCGGGAGCTTAGGGGCTTGATCGAGTCTATTAGGCCGTGAAAGGATACCTACCTAGCGGCCCAATTACGTGACGCGAGACGAGAGTGTCATTGAGAGCGTGTAGCCTCATGGAGCTAAAATTGGGCCGTTGTCATTGCTACAGAGAATATGGTAACCTTGGCCCAATAAGCAAAAATAAAGTATTAAAAAAACAAATTTACAGAATAAAGGTGACTGACTAGGGGTATAAATGATACATTAGTACTCATAAGCTACTCAGGTTCGATTCGAAAAAAACTTGAATTTGGTTCGATTATTATCGAGTCGAGCTTGAGCTCGAATAGCTTGACTTATCGATCGAACCGAATTTAAGTATTCTTATATCTTATTCGAGTAGTTCGCAAGCCTAATCGAGCTTTTATATTTAAATATATTTTTATTATTTTAATTAATAAACTATTTCGAATTCGAGTTTGAACATAAATAATCGAACTCTTATCGAGTATACGAATCGAGTTTATTTTTACATATTAATAAAACTTAATCGAGCGAGTTTGAGTAGCTCAAATTCGATCACGAATCGAGCTCGAGCTTAAAAAATAAAACTCAATTGAGTTCAAACCGAGTATCGAGCTCGAGTTGTGAGTCGAACTCAAGCTCGAACTTCTCACTATATCAGTTCGATTACACCCTTAACCCCAACTCATTTAAAAAAAAAGAAGAAGAGGTGTCCCCACTCTTATCTTCTTGGACTTTTTCAACTTAATATAGTTCTTATTTGATTTGGGGCCTTGATATTGTGACCAGTTATAAGTGCCACCAAAATAAACAGTTTCTCTTTTTTTTTTTGGTCTTATTGATTATTATTATGTAAAAAATCAATTTATGGATGTAATTGGTACATACATGTATTTTCATAGACTTTAATCTCTAAAAAAACGATAATAAATTATTGGTTTGGGGACCCTTTGGTAAGGAGTCCTGTCTTGAGGTCCAACTAGATCAGTGGGTAGTCCTGTGTAAATGATTTACCTAACAGAGCAGCAGTTTTGTAGGTTTCCCATCAATGGGTATCTGTTAACAGTGACTGCCCAACATTAATCAAAATTTCCCGGACTAGAAAAATGAATACCAACCAGTCAGTTAGGTTTATGAAAAATCAAGCCCAGGTATTGATCCTAGCCCATGTTAATCGACTTTGATCATACACTC